TAGAATGGCAACGGCAACTTGACATAAATTTCATAGACTTTGAGAAGGCTTTTGATAGCATTCACAGGACCAGCCTATGGCGCATTCTGCGGGCATATGGAATTCCTTTCTGTATAATCAACGTCATCAAAAGCTTCTATGTCTACTTTACATTCAGTCTTGATCACAGTGAACTCAGTTTTGAAGTCAAAACAGGAGTACATCAGGGATGTATCATGTCTGCAGTCCTCTTCAACATTGCCATCGACTGGGTAATGCGGCGTACAACAGAAGACATGCCAAGAGGCATTAAATGGACACTCTTCTCATCCCTTGAAGACCTGGACTTCGCAGATGATGTCGCTCTCCTGTCACATACCCAACACCATATACAAGAAAAAACAACTTGACTCAACGCATTCAGCTAGCAAGTTGGACTGAAAATCAACCGCAATAAGACCGATATAATGACCTTTAATATTGCCTCACCATCACCAGTACACATAGAGGATCATGTTCTCACCAATGTAGAAACACTTATATACTTGGGCAGCACCATCAGCCAGGATGGTGGAACAAGCCAGGACATCCGGAACAAAATCAATAAAGCCAGGAACACCTTCAGAAGCTTAAATACAGTCTGGAAATCATCAAAATACAACATCAAAACCAAACTCAAGATTTATCAGAGCTGCGTACTTTCAACATTACTTTATCGTGCAGAATGCTGGTGTGACAAACTGGGACTGTTCTTACTGTGGTCTTTGAATGCTGACAGGGGAGTGTGGCTAGGATAGTCTGCATTGGGGGATGGGAGACTGACCGAAGGAGAATACCTGAGCATGTAATATGAGAACCCAGGAAGGGGTTAGAGGCCAGGTGAGACCTTTGCCTGGGAAACTGAACAAAGGCTGTGGGAGGGGTCGCTGAAGACAGAGTTTCAGGAGCTGCCTGGAGAGATGGCTGGGAGGCAGACGGGGCTCTGACCTCCCAAGGGGCTGGGGTGCCCTGAGACCCCAGGATGGACCCAACTGAGGGGGGTCCTGTTGTGTGTGCCTGCAAGACCTGTCTTGGACTGTATTCCTGTCGTCTAAATAAACCTTCTGCTTTACTGACTGGCTGAGAGTCATGGTGAATCGCAGGAAGCCGGGGGTGCAGGGCCCTGAGTCCCCCACACTCCGTGACAGCTGGGGAATGAGAAAGTATGACATGGCCAAACTGTCTTCATTCCATACAACTTGCCTCAGAAAAATCCTCCATATCTTTTGGCCCAGAATAATCTCAAACCAAGATCTATTGACACGGTGCAGCCAAGAGGATCTGAGCACCATCATTACCAGGAGGCATTGGAGACGGATCGGTCATGTGCTTAGGATGGAAACTGATTCCATCACCAGAGTAGCAATAATATGGACACCTGAAGGCAAGCGAAAAAGAGGCCGCCTGAAAACAACATGGCGAAGATCTGTGGAAGCCGAGCTGAGAAACCTGGGGCACAGCTGGGGAACCATTGAAAGACTTGCCAGAAACAGACAGGAGTGGAGGAGCTTCGTCGCTGCCCTAAATGCCAGACGCATAATAGGAACATGATGATGATGATGATGATGTACAGGAACTGCTGCCACCACTGCTGTATGAAATTCAGTTTCTGGAGTGTGTTTTGTTCACATTCTGGATCCAGAGCAAGATTTAGATTATCTAAAATGTTAGAATGTTCTCTTCAGCTAGAGTCATTGATTGATGGGACCCAGCAGGGGATGTTTGTCAGTGCTGCTTAGTGAGTTATTTTTGGAAAAGATGAGTTATAACCCTGAGTCTCAACATTTGTCTGGCTAACTGTACAGTGTACAAACATTAGGGACAGGTTAAGAATGATCTCCATCCTTTCATTTTATGCTCACAGTACAGGCTCTGGGGCTGAGAGATTGTTGCTTTTGGGATTTTAAGGTCAGCACACCCTCTGGACTTTCAATTTTTTGAAATGCTGCTAGAGTTTTATCTTACTATTTAAGAGGTATGTTTTTTTACCTAATTCCCAGAGTTATATTATTAAATTAATTGTCTTGCAGTGGTCACAGATGATGCATTTGGTTGTACATTCGGAGTGGAATTTTTATTAAAATAGCATCTGAAATCTGATCAGTTGCTTCAAGGACATTAAGTGTCTTAACAAATGCAAATCTCAGACTGGAGAGCGGGTTAGCTGCAGTACAAATTGTTAGAGCCTAGGGATTACTTGTTTGTAACACCATTTGTTCTGCTGTCACCTCCAAGTGACTATTCAGGTATTAATAAATTTGTCATTTACATACACAGTGACAATTGTACAGTCCCTTGTGTTTTGTAACTCAGTGTATATGTAGGGGTTAAACATTTTTTTGTTTTGAAAATCCCTCTCCTCCCCTGCCGCCACAAAAAAAAAAAAAAAAGAAAGCCCAAGCTCCCAGTTAACATGGATTGTCATAGCCTCCAAAGCCCTGCACTCCAGGAGATTGGCTCCTAGCAAGCATCAGGATCTTGGTGGTCTGTTAATCACCTCTGCAAACAACTCCTAATGCTAGAAGTTAAATGTGGGTCATTGTATATTGGATCTAGCACACGTACAGGGTGAGCTGTGCTTTAGCCCCGTTTTAGGCCTTCTCAAGTGCATCTCTCTGGTGAGGGGTTTCAGTACTTTCACCCCTCTCTGCATGGCACCATACGGTCCTACCACGCTTTGGGCAGATCTACACAGAGGTCAGAGGTGTGATTTTGGCACATGTAGGCATACCTGAGCTAGCCTGAATCTAGCTAACCTGGGTAGCAGTAGCAGTGAAGCTACGGCAGCCCCGACTTCAGCACATGCTGACTGTCCAAGTGAGTACCCAGGATCCTGAATGGGCTTGTACAGCCTGTGCTGCCACGACTTCACTGCTGTTAGTACCTGAACTAACTAGACATGGTCTACATGTGCCAAAATCACACACCCCTGCTTGCAGTGTAGACATGCCTCACAAGTGGTGTGGGCTGCAGCCCCTCTGGATACCAACTGTAGTACAACAGTCCCTTTTGTTTGGCGTGTGTGAGCCCCTTTCCTCTAGGAGTCTGTGACGACAACTGATTAAAGTGACTGAAAAACAGGTTCTTCAAAACAGGTCACTGGCCTCCCACGAGGCCTGAGCACAGAAGGCGTTGAAGTACACCCCGCTGGCCGACACCCTGAGAGCCCAGGGCTACAAGGTTCAGATTCACACCCTGATCATGGGAGCCCTGGGCTCTTGGGACCCCCACAACGAGCAGGTACTGAGAGCGTGCGGAGTTAGTCAGCGCTACGCCCGACACATGAGACGGCTCCTGGTGTCCAACACCATCAGGTGGTCCAGAGACATCTATACGAAACACATCACAGGACACCAATACCAGGTTGAATAATCGAGACTGCTGACCAGGGAAATAACCTTCCTTCCCTGATGAACCAAGGAACGCACCCCACCCATGTACTTATTCGCTACACTGACTTGGACTCTTTATATATACCAGGGTGGTGTACCCAAGCCCACTTAGCCACTGACCCTTTAAAAACTCCCGCACCCCAATCTGGGTCTATGCTGGTTATGTGATATGTATGTATCCCTTCACCCTTGCAACCAATACCTGTAATCCCTCATAACTCAAGCCCGACCCCAGATGTTCATACAGTACCTTCCCTCTTAACTTGTGTATATTTAATTTTAAACATTAACTTTAATAAAAATTTTAAATCTATTCAGCCAAAGGCAGATAGCAAGCAGAGAAAAGGGTAAAATAACAAAAGACCTAAATGTCTGGAGCTTACCTAAATTTATTCTTTTTTCTTAGCCCAGACACCCCTACTCCTGGCCTGGGACAGACAGACAGACAGTCCCTACAGCATTCTGTGTGTGTCTCCCTGCTCCCCATCCCCCTTCCTCTCTAGGCCAAGGTTCTTAACTGCTTATGGTCCTTCTTGAGATCTAGGCTGTGGCCTTGGCAAAACAACTGTATGAAGTTGCTGGTGCCCAGAAAAGATCTTCCCAATTAATAACCTAACCCATATTATCTTAACTCCCTTGAAGGTGTTTACCCCAGATGTCTGATCTCCACCATTCTGTCATTTCCTGTTGGCTATTCATAACAACCCCTTTCATTTGACTCTGTGTATCAGACAGAATGATATCAAGCAGATAAACTGCAGTACATATATTCATACAAAATAATACAGCTATCTCCCTTCTTTCCAAAGTAACGACACCTACATGTCTGCCTTGATAGTTTTATTGATTTTAACCTAAAACTGGAAACCTCATGTCCTGTGTCCTGCAGTACCATTAAGGCACATGTGCAAGGGAAATGAATGAGCTCTCTGGAGGGCAAAGATTAATTTCCTTTACCAGTAGGAAGCAACTTTCTCATTCTGGGAGCCCGGAGCAAGATTCATATTGAAGTGACTTGTCTCATCCCACAGTAGCTTTTTATGCAGTAGCTTTAGTAGAACTAGGCTGACTGTTTGTGCACTTCTGAGGCTCTGAATGCCTCAGCACCAAGTGATTATCATAGAAGGCATAGAGCCCTCCTTGCTATAGTGGTTTGAGCCTTGGCCTGCTAAACCCAGGGTTGTGAGTTCAATCCTTGAGGGGGGCCATTTAGGGGTCTGGGGATTAGTCCCCCTTTGAGCAGGGGGTTAGACTAGATGACTTCCTGAGGTCCCTTCCAACCCTGAGATTCTGTGATGTCATTGGCCAAGAAATAGCATGTCTTTGGTAACAATAGTTAACTGTATTCAGAGGTAGAGTTACCGGCTGGGTAAGGCAATGAGCACACTGCATGTCTCTAATTTTTGGGTGGGGGAAAAGGCTATCGTAGGTGCAGTGAATTAATGATTCCTTCCCCACATCTGCCCTCTTTATAATTTGAAGTTCAATTCAATAGGGAGTTCCACTTACCGGGTATGGCAAGGAGACCTGCTCGGTCTCATTTAAATGTTGAGCACTAGATGTACTTTAAAAAGACAAATGCAACGTGTATTGAACCTTTTCTCAACTCCTTTATTGCAGAATAGCCAAATCACTCAACCATCTTGTTCAAAGAAATGGTTTCACATTTTAAGTTGTTTGCACTGATTTGATAAGGATTATAAAAAAAATTGCTTAGATCTTACATTTCTGATGTAATTTTATCAACTACATTGTGTATTTGATCTCACCAAAGTTTGATTTTTAAACAGCATATAGGGATAAGTTTGGCTCAGTACTGTACCTTAACAATTCAACTTCTAATACACTGAGGCCTGGTCTACACTACAGAGGCAGCTTACATTGACCTAACTCTATAAGCATCTACACTACAATGTAGTTCGCACCGATGTAACTCGCCCACTACATCAAATTAATAACTCCACTTCCGCGAGAGGTGTAGTGCTTAAGTCAATGTAGTTAGGTTGATGCAGTGTCATTGTAGACATTGTGTTGCTTACATTGACTGTTACTGCCTGTCAGGAACTGTCCCACTATGTCCCATACTGGCAGTTAAATTGGTGCAAGCACTCCAGGTGAGGATGTGCACTGCCGACACAAGGAGCGTAATGTGGACATGAAAACAGATTCAATTACCGTGATGGCTGTACGTCGACATAACTTAGGTTGACTTAATTTTGTAGTGTAGACTTGCCCTAAAGTACTTCTCTGCACGAGGCTGTCTTGTGACATGCATGTCTCAATAACATCAAGTTTCTATTTAACAATTCCTTGTGTACACTTCCTCACTAATCAAATGTAACCACTTCTTTCAGACCCATCCCTAGGGTAACTGGAACTCTACCAAGCACCCCCCTATAACCATGCTGACCCATCTCTGCCTGGGAAAGAGGATCTCGTCTTTATTCTTCTGGCCAGGTGCTCAAACCATTACATCTGCTCCAGACTCAGCTTCCTCAGAGGTCAGTGTCCTATTTTCCAGGGCCTCCAACAAGAGGCCCCCAGCTTAGAGTCTCCATGTTCAAGTCCAAGTATCTTAAGTTAAAGCAAAAATTTGTAACAAGGAAGAAATTAAAGAGAAAATCACAAGCACCGCTAGCCAAAATACTACACAATGGTTAGCTAGCTTGGCTATAGGTTTAGTTACAGGATAAGATACAGTTTTCATCTTAATGTATGATATGGTTCTTTGTCCTACCCAGCTGCAGGTAGGACCTATTGCACTTAGCAACTGCTGAGTTGAGAACAGGGCCGGCTCCAGGCACCAGCCCTCCAAGCATGTGCTTGGGGCAGCACCTGGAGGGGGGCGGCGCTCACCCGGGGAGAGCGGGACCGCGGCCAGGCTCGCCACCCTCCCCCCGGGGCTCCGGCCGGTCGGGGAGAGCGGGAGGCTTTTTTGCTGAGGGCAGCAAAAAAGCCAGAGCCAGCCCTGGTTGAGAAACCTGGTTACATCACAGTGTAGATGGAACTTATGTTCTCAATTTATACTACAGCCTTGGAACCAGATGCTTGTGGCTAAAGAGGCCAGTGGAGAAGGCCCTTGTGGAGGGGAACTCTCCACTGACACACAGCTGCTGGAGGCAGCATTGCAGATGTAGGGTGTGGGCTCAGAGAGAGGGGGTAGGGAAGTGGTGTTGCAAAGCTAAAAAACAATTTTATAAACTTCTGCAACATCTGTGTTTTAGACCAGGCTTCAGATGTAGCTTTGGTTGTTTCCTTGTCTCAGTGTTGAAAAGAATACTCATTAGCACGTCAGAGTCTTCTTATTAAATTCATTATCTGCATTTGACCACCAGGTGTTTCCCTAAAACATTCTAAGCATGTTTCTTTTCAACACCTCCTGAAAGAGACTATTGGTGATACTTAGATGGTCATAGCCCATTTGTTTAGCATAACCCTAAATATTAAGCACACTATAAGCAAATGCAATTTGTACTGGACGCACCAGGCACTGGCCAGGATTATAATCCAATTTCTCTTCCAAAGTGAGGTATGGATTTTCTCAGTTAGCTTCAGTTAAGTCATAGCTTTCCTTTCAAAACTGGGCTTCCCTCATAAACCAAGTAGGTATCCATGGAAGCTGCCTTGTCATCATAACAGCCAGCTTTTTCTTCTGGGTCTACGGGGCAGAGATCCTGTTTGCACCACCTGAGTAGGGAATGCAAATAACTTTTAACCAAAACCATTGTATGGACAATACTTGTTGCAACCTAACCCCTAGTAGTATTACAATCTCTAGAAAGGCATGCTGTGGACAGGCAATCCCCATGAACACCATGGAGGGGACTGATCAGATTTCACTAATACCACAGCAGGACCGATACCTGTCTCCATCAGCAGCGGATGTTGAGGTCTGGGTCTGTCACAGAGGAAGGTGTGACTGACTACCTGAAAGGGATCGGATCACATGAGCTGAATACACCTAGGGGATCTGCTTGGAAGAGGCGGCTGGAGAAAGGGGATCCATTTACCTCTGAGCTGTGTAAGTGTCTGTGGAGGTGGCATCAGGCTGGGCTGCGTGTTCGAGTAAGAGAGCCCCTGCAAAAAGCACATGTTAGGTATAAATGTTTCCAGACTCCCATCCCAATAGCAAAATGTAATGGAAGGGTCGGGTATTCCTTACTCCATCACAGCATCTTGCTGGTTCTTACCTGAATCTCCTTCTGCTCAAAAAGGAGGCAGTGACCAGCCTTCCTTACACCACCATTGCTGAACAACATTTGAAAACCATCAAGTATCAGAGGGGTAGCCGTGTTAGTCTGAATCTGTAAAAAGCAACAGAGGGTCCTGTGGCCACTTTCCTCAGATCCCACTGAGGAATACATTAAGAAACTGCACCATCGACTCAGGACACTCCCTACACTAACACAGGAACAAATCAACATACCCTTAGAGCCCCGACCGGGGTT